TTCCTCAGTGCCACATAAGCAGAAAAAGCCAGAGTGGCGCTGTGGCTCAAGTGGTAGAGCGCTAGCCTTGAGCTGAAGAGCTGAGGGACAGCGCCCAGGCCCAGAGTTCAGGCCCCACGACCGACCAAAATATATATATATACAGATAAAAAAAGTTTCTGTAATAAAAACTTCAACTTCCCCTATTTCAAAGTCCCCCAGTTGGGGTCGTCTTAGCAATACCTGAGAAAATCGCTCACTTCTCATTACTACTGGAGTTTTATCCGAAGGAGGCAAGGAAAGAGGAAGAAAAGGGAAGAAAAAAAAAAACTTGGATCTGTGCTGGCTCATGCCAATAATCCTAGTTACTCAGGAGAATCTGAGAATCAAGGTTGAGAGCCAGCAGGCAGACAAATCCAAGACATTCTTGCCTTTAGTGAACCAGCAAAAGCTGAAAGTGGAATAATGGCTCAAGTTGCAGAGCACCAGCCAAAGGGGAAAAAAAATTAAGAACTAGTCCCTTAAGGAGGAACTGAAGAAACCAATGAACAATCTACATGTAGTTTTACTATTGTTTTTAAAAATTACTGGGCATTTCTGTTTAATTAAATGATAATACCTTTTCATTTGGCCTAATGCTAACATATACACATGTATAGGCCCATATATGAACATACTACACACATGCATATACATGTATCTACATGTGTATACATACACATATATACATAGGTATGTATATATATTTACTTATTGTTAGATGAAAACAGGTACTATTTTAATTTTAAAACTTTCTCATTTCTTTTTAACAATTCAAGACTCAAAGTATTTCATTTTCATAATGATAGAGAACAATCTCTGAAAATGATTTATTGAATCAATATCATAAGCAAAAAAACAGGAATTTTTAAGGACATTTATGATATAAAACATTCAGATAAGTGGAGACAGCATTCATTAGCTATGCTGAAAAATTAATTTTATCATACATCATACACTGAAAACATTCAAATCAGGTAAAAAAGAAAACAAAGGAACAGAAAAAACAGCTAAGTGCAGACCCACTTGTGAGAGTCTGAGTACCTCCTCAGGCAGCTTATTTGTATATTCTGGTTCTGCTCATCCTTGGTGTCCCAAACATGCCATTTTTTTTTTTATCTTTTGATAGATTTCTGGAGGTCAGTCTGAATTTATGAGTTTGGAGTATTGCATAGGACCCAGCTTATAAAAATATGAGAACACCTCGCGGAGCAAAACAAAACAAAAACAACCAAAACAGCAAGCCAACTGTCAGAAGAGGATGAAACAATGTATCTCAAATACTGAAAGAAAAACAAGATAGAAGTATATATTCAACTGCTCCTCCAGAATGAGAGCAGAATAAAGATGTGTTTGCTGTGTGAAGCCTGTAGGGACTTTTCCATCTGCAGATTCTTAACCATACTACAGGCCTTTGCCATACTAGTAGTTTAAAAAGAAAGCATGTCAGAAGAAATAATGATCATTTTAGAAATGCCAGAATGCGTTCAGAGATTTATTGAATATGACTAGGTTTACATGTGAGTGGTTAAATAAAAAGTAAAACTAAGCTGGGGGCTGGGGACCCACACCTATAATTCTAGCTATTCAGAAGACTGAGATCTGATGATTGTTATTCAAAGCCAGCTGGGGCAGGAAAGTCCATGAGACCCTTATCTCCAAAAAAGCCTGAACTGGAACTGTGGCTCAAGTTCTTAGAGTGCTAACCTTGAGCAAAAATGTTCAGGGACAGCACCCAGGCCCTGCATATAAGCCCCAAGAGACAAAAAGAGACAGGGGCACAGACATACATACAGAGATAGATGTGTTCTATTATGTTAAATCATACAGGCAGGTCAATAATTTGAGGCTAGATATAAACCTATTGAACATGACATTTAGCAGATATGTAATGGATCTTTCAAGTTTTTCACCAGGAACTTGAGGACAGAGGGTTTTTATTTTTTAAAAAACAACTGGATTAAGATTTTTCAGAAATAGAAGGAGATAAGATCCTATCTTTCCCCACAAATAACCTAGACTCTCTCAATAGCTCTTCTTGCCTTTTTTCATTATTTCCCATTTGTTTCTTGGTTTCTTATGGATTGTAGACATGTATTATCTAGTCTTTTTTTCCCCCAGTCCTGGTGCTTGAATTCAGGGTTTGGGCACTGTCCCTGAACTTCTTTTGCTCAAGGCTAGCACTCCACCAGAGGAGCCACCGAACCACTTTCAGCTTTTTCTGCTTATATGGTACTGAGGAATCAAATCTAGGGCTTCATGCATGCTAAGCAAACACTATATATCACTATGCCATATTCCCAGCCTTAATCTAGTGTTTTGTAGGAAGCAGATAGAGTAGGGTAGTGGACATAGAGTCTACTTGTATACCACAAACCTTAACATGTACAGAGACTGTGTCTCATGATTCTTTCTCCACCTTGAAAGTTATGATGTCATCCAGAAAACATACTCCTAAGTATCTCTCTAATCTCAAGGGGAAATAAATATGTCAGCTTCTGTTGTCTCCTTGTTAGACTCTGCTGCCCTCTGTGTTGCTACTTGACTGAACTTTTAGACATTTCCATACCTCAGGTAAACTGTTGGTTTACATATTCTCTCACTTTGTTCATCTTCTCCCCATCATTTAACACCCCTGACTTTCTATTTTTTAAAAGTTATCTGATTTATTGTCCTTGGATTTCATATATTTACTGACACCTTGTAACTATTTAATATTTTAATTGATTATCCAAGGCACTGAATGCCTATTAGAGAACCAGTAACATTTTATAACGCTACTGTAGTTTTAATAACAATCATCAGTTGTAATTATATTGTAACTGATGAACACTGTTGGTATCCAGAAAATAAAAACATGTCTGACAGTTGTTTTCACATATAAGCTCTCACTCGTTAAATACTGCTTATTGATATTCACTCTTTTTGAAAACATTGGATTAGATAGCTTTTCCCATAGGTACTTTAAGCTCCAAAACTTAGATCCTAAGCTCTAATAAGTTCCCAAGTAAATAGGACAGTTCAGGTACATAAAATACAAGTTATGAATTAAATCTTTTAATTTCTTGAGTTTATACCAAATGAATTATTTTGTATTGCAACAACCTGTGAAATTATAAGAAAAATAGAAGAGTACAATTTACATACATTGTTTATATGCTCACAAATACCATAGTAGGTATTTTTGAAAATGTAAACTAATTCTCTAAGTATGAAGAAAGGAAATGGAATTTTGATGGTTAATCATTAGGGGTCTAGCAGGACATAGGCAGGCCAAGGCTAAATAAATTAGTAAAATATTGAGAATAAGGGCTGGGAAGGTAGCTCAGTGGTAGAGCGCTTG